TTCTGTATCTTACTGTTATGGATAGGAGACCAACAATACCTGAACCAAATAATGATGAAATACCAGCTGAACAAAATCGAAGACTCATTATTAATGATTGAGCTGATTGTGGTGCAGCCAAATAAGCAAATTCAAGACTAGCAACAGAAGTAAATACTTCTGAAAGACCAATACCAACATATTGTGGAAATTGATAAAATACACTCATATTAGCTGCTAGATATTGTCTATCACCTGTAACATAAAAAAATTAATTACATTGAAAATGAAAGTACAAAATACATACCAATAATTTGTGTAAAATTATGAGTTTTACACACATTTTGACGGACTATTTCAATCGTACCTGCCATACACATAGCAAGTGCTGCAGAGATTAAACCAATAATTATACGAGTATTTATTGGAAATGATCGCCCACTAGCTTGAAGACGTTTATATACAAATGCATTCAGAAGAAAAATTGTGACTAGATTAAATAGAAAACAAAATATATAATGTTATCTCCTACGAAGACTAAAGTTTCCGTGTCTCGAATCTTGTTCTGTCATTTTTCATATAGTTTCAAAATATCTCGATCCTAAAAAATTTTCGAGACTATTCGGATTGTTTCGCAGGATGAGACTTTAGAATGTCCTATGGGATTCTAATTAACGCGTCTGAATATTTATCAAATGGTTTGAAAAAGGAATTATATAGAAATTTACATAGGTTATATTATTCAGCTTTTAAGATAAAGTGCCTTGTGTTTTGATTCAAAGAATAGAATTCATATATGATGGGTAACCTAGAACGAATGATTAGTTTTTGGGATTAATCGAAGGTATTTTTTGTCAATGAACGAAATTGTCTTCAATCGATGATATAAAAAAAAAGAGTGATCCATTTTGAAAACACGATTTTTATGGTAATTTGTAGATTTTTTCACGCTGCATCTTGTGATATGTTTATTTTTCGAATAAAACATATTAACGAGGTAACATTTTCAATCCATTTGGTATTCTGTTCAGAGTTACAGACAATTTTAACCTCCGCCATGATATACACCAGCAAATCGAATGAGAGTATATCGACCTGAGATTTTTTTCCATAGACAAATCTATCGAAATATCGTCATTCGTTTTGTTGGTATATACGATGCCGGAAGTTAAAATTCAAGTAAAATACCTATAATTCTGAACAAGAGAACTTATCCTTTTAAGGTTTTTCATAGCTCACTGGATTCGATCTTATGCACTGAGTTTCAATTCAAAAGTGATTTGTCAGTTGAAAACTTTTCCTCGTAAGTAATAAAAAGAAAAAATACAAAAACGGATCCCTTCATTCTATATCATTCGTTATTTTTTATATAATTAATTATATTATTTAATTCTTCAAAAAGAATCTTCTAACTTACTATAATCTAAGACTCACCAATGATTATCAATTGATTTCCAAGAGAAAGCCAAACAACAGGCATCTTTGTAAAATAATTTGGTAATTTCATATGAGCACCTTGAACAATAAATGTTGTTTCAACCTATATAAATTAAATTTTTTATACAAAATAATTAATTAAAAATAGAAATTACTTGAACATAAAGAAGCCAATAAGGTATTAATAATAGAAATACAACAATAATAGGTCGAAGTGATTTAATATCATTTATAATACGACCAGAAAATCGACCATTATGTTCTATTTTAGCATAATCAAAGAATGACCATGTTGATCTATTTACAGTAAATGATAAATAATCATTACTATCACCTTCAGTTTCAACAATTGTTTCTTCTGCATGTGATTCACTATTATCACTTATTCCACGATGATTTCGTCGATAATTTCTCCATGATTGAAATGCATTTATAATAACAGGAATAAATTTTGTAATTACAGAATCATATGGTTTTATATGAATATAATATTTATAACCAATTATAAATAATATAAAAGATAAAATAAGTAATATACCAGGAATTAAATATCCAATAAAATAACCTTTATTAATTTGTATATAAGCAATAGCACCAAAAGCTATAAGTCCACCTGTATTGACAGCTGCATAATATATATCAAAATATCGTATTTTACTTTTTTGTTCTCGAACTTGTTCAGCACCAAATACAGCCATATTAGCTTGTACTGCTCCAACACCAATAGCACTAAACAGAATAGATCTTTTTTGTTTTGTTAAAAAAAAAAAGAAGAAGAGATTATGATTACGTAAAAATAAGGGTTGGAAGAATATATTGAATACAAAGTTCATGAATAAAATCAGGTGTTTCTGTATCTGTATTATTATTAGGTTTGGGACACCAATTTTGATGTGTATGTTCATTTGCAAATAATATCATAAATATATAACCAATATTATATATAATAAAACCTACATTGAAAAAGTTTAAATAAAATAAAACAAAACAAAGATTAAATTAAATTAAATTACCGATAATAATTGTTTTTGCTCGTCCCAATTTGCCATCACTTATCCAAGAAAATACTAATGCAGAAATATAACTTGTACCTTAAACAAAAAAAAAATTTTTTTCGCAAATAAATTTCATTTAAATTATTTTTACCAAGAAAAATAAGTGGAGCAATGATAGTATGTGGAAATTGCCATTTAATTATTGCTGAATCAAGAAAAAAAGTAAGATTACCAACTAATGAATAAAATGCTAAACGTTCAAGACCAGCACTTAATAGAATCAAACAAACGGCTAGATTTCTTTGAAATGGAGTTCGTGTATCAGTTTTAGGTAAAATACGATGCGGTTTAAAAACTAACGGAACGATTTCGTCTGCAGTCGCTTCAGCCATCTAGATAAAGAGAAAATAATAACTAAATATCGAATGTACACATATAGTTCTCAACCAAAACAGCCATCGCCCATGAACTGCTACTATTCTTTATAATATTGAACTGATATTTTAAGTGCATCAGTATGACAATAAATCATGATCACAATTACCACTTCGCCCTTCATCGGTTCACATATGTTCTTTTCCTTGAGGGAAAACATATTCAGTATAAATATGCACTTTATTTGTCATTTTGCTGTTCCACAAGCTACTATCGCTTTGTTTTTCTACCGCTAAAGACAGTCCTATATATTTATAGTGATGAACAAAAGTTTAGAGCAGTTGAGTTTTCTTCTCGATGATAATAGCTAAGAAGAATCTGAAAAAAAAACACCTGAATAACTGAAAGAATGTTCTATTAGGGTTAGTGGACCTAAGAACACCAATAACATGGCTTGGATAAAGATGCCTAGAAAACCAAGATCTCCTCCTATCTTAAATCAGTTCTCTGACATCCATTTAATATAAAACATGTCGATAGCATTGAAATTTTTCATAAAAACAAAAGAGAAATGCTTCTCGGACCTTCTGTAAATTGGATGCAATTCGATGAAGGAAAGTCATGGAGAGTTCGTAAACATCTCATTTTGCTCTATCAAATAAAATCATTTTCAAGAAGTCGTCAATTGATGCCAGAAAAGTGGTTTTGGTGAGTCTTGGTTTCCCAGACAACCTCACCAAAGTCTATGACACATAGTCAAGATCTTAGTAATAATTATGCTCGGAGACAGTGAACCCATGCCGTAGCGCTAACTCGATTTCATTCAGTTCTGCGACTCTAAAAATTTCACAACAGACTTGTCGACTCATGAGATTCCTTTACTAGAATTTTCAAAAGAATTGATCAAAGTTATTGCAGAAAAGCTCCATCTTACTAAAAAAACCAGCATTTGTTCTTCAAGAGACATCTTTAATGAGGAGACAATATCTAAATTATTTCAAAATTCGGACTAGAGGTAGCTACGACAGAAACCTTTCGAATGAGGAGTTGAACGAAAATATTTGTGTCAACATGGTTGAGATAAAGTAATCACAAGAAGAAGATGATGTGTGCATCATAACTTCAGTGTATGTGAACCAATGGAAAGCAGGTTGGTACTTGCGATTGAAGTTCATGGTCACATACATGCATTCAAAATATTAGTTTAATATCATAAAAGATAGTAACATTTCATGGGAAGGCAACTATTTTTGTTCAGAACTGTATGTACTTTTCTAATTTATTGTTTTTGTCAAGCCGGATAAGAAAGAAGCCAATAGAATAGATAATTACAAGTAGTATTGATGCACATAAATGTAATTTCGAATATCTACAATATTTAGCAAAGATACAAAAAAAAAAATAAATATTTTTTTATTTATTTGAGAAATAAAAATCAAAAATTTGTTTAAATTATTTTGTAAAACACGATCTAAAAGGAATGAAGAAATACACGAGTCGGAATTCGCACCTTCATCCCATAGCCAGAGACACAAAACCAAAGTTCGCTACAGAATTACCGTGAAACACAATTGAACACGCCGCTCACTGTAACAAATTACGATTCACATCTTTCATCATCGGCATACATGTGTAGTAATTCGTAAATCAAATTATATGTTAATCAACTCCTTCATTTGCCATTTTAATCCAGCAGGAATAGTGTCAACAATGTTCTCTTTTACCATAAGTCAATATTTTGATGCGAAAGCTTAAACCTTATTGAATCGGTTGACATTGTTAATATTTTAGTTATGATTAATTGTCAGCAGGCATAAAAGAAATCTGAAAAGAATTTATTCTCATGAATTAAATTTTCATATGAAGACAGTAAATATCTGATTTATTCGATGAAAATATTGATTAGTCATACTTGTTCTCTTAAAACAAACCTATACGTGAAATCTACAACCTCGCATGACTATAAAAAAAAAAGAACATATATTATTCATATCTGGAGTTTCAATTATTATTATCATTGAAGTGTAAACAGAACGCTATTTTTTTCTTCGTTATCATAAATAATTATATATTGTAAAAACATTGATATTATTCATTAGTTCTACTGCAACCACTGTTATACTTGATTGTAATTGACTCATATTGCACATAGTTCCTTTTTCTATTTCTAGAGGTGTTTCTTGATCGAACATGCATATTTAGTAATAAACAAAAAAATAAAATATATATATAACAATGATACATTATCCTCATCAAGAACTTCGTCTTTCGAATAGTCGTTTCTCTTCAATACTAAAACGAAAAATCTCATCTCGTCATGATCGAATTTTTCATTCATCAACAACTATGACTCAAAATGAATCAATTTTACAACGTCTTTATAGTTTCGTATTTTCAGTTCTCGATGATCATCCATATCCTTCAACACGAAAAGAATTTCATCGTCGTACTTATGAAATTCAACGAAATATTCGAAATTTAAATCTTTCTTCAACTCAACAAAAATTTCTACATCGTCTTATGATTGAAACAGGTGTTACTCTAGTTAGTTTCTTTTCAAATGAAAAAAAAAACAACTCATTTATTATTTTCATTCTAGGTCGATCTTTGGCAAGGTTCTCATATTATTACACTCGATCATGGTCATCTATACAATATATGGTCAACATTACTATCAGCTCATCCACGTTTTTCATCTCATTATCATGATGTGCCTTTACAACAATATGGTATTAATTTTCGAGATCATCAATTATTATTTGGAAAAACTTCAATACATGGTTCAACATGGTTTCAAATGGAAGCACATGGTTTTGATCCTAATGAAATTTATGATGATCCAGATTTAGTTATTTATCATGGAAAAGATTTTTTAAAATATCATTTACATCAAATGAATGTTGGTCCATTTGGTTTTTCACCTCATACAGAAATGAAAAATCCAATTATACATCCTTATCAACCATTAAATATTAAAAGAAAACGAAAACAAAAATATTCTATCCCGTTTTACCAATAAGTTTAGAAAAAAAGAAAAACAAGTGTATCAATAAATATTTTTATTAAAAATATACATGATAAAATATTATTGACATGCAACAGAACAATTAATTCATATGAATTTCACAAACGACTAAATGCCAAATGAGATTTTTTGCACTATATATCAACGTTCAACTTTCTCGAAGCAAGTATCTTCACTAGACTTGCTATCATAGAAAGTCATTTTTATATGAGCAAACTCATTGAAAAAAATATATGAAATTGTCACATACTTACATAAAAGACTTATGTAGAAAAAAGATCGGATAAAAATGAATTTTGTTGTTGAGATGTTGAATCAAAAAGAACATGATGATCATTATCAAATTGATTAAAAAATTGTGTAAAATCCAGATCATTATCAATTATACTAGAAGATGGTATCGCCATCCAATCCATATCTGTGATAGATGATGAAATTGTTAATGTTGAAGACGAATCTAAATTAAAATAGAAATGAGAATAATTTTTCAAAAAAAAAACAAATTTTTTTTTTTTGTAAAACTATATTAAGATTTATCATTTTCTTACTAGTATAATCATTCAATAGATCAAAATTAACATCGTTATTGATCTAAAAAAAAAAAGAATATTCGATTTTATTTTTATACAAATTCAAATAAATATTATACTGATTGAATTGATGAAGAATTGATAGAATGATTATCTGACATTTGTGATTGAGCAAGATATTGTGCAACTGATTCAGGTGTTAAAGGTACAATTGTATATTGTTGAAGATTTTCTATGAAATAAACAAATAATTAATTGATTTTTCAATAAAAATTATTCATACGATTTTGTATTTGTGTCGATAGAATAGGATTACAATTTTCTGAAATCTTAAAAAAAAAAAAGAAGGAATAGAAAGATTTAAGATTTTTATTTTTGCGTTTTATTACAATAGTAGAATTATCTATAGGTTGAAAATTTGATAATAATTGATTTTCAATTGATAAAGAAGAATCATATTGTTTTGAGTTTTCTAATTTCTGTTGTTGTTGTTCTTGATCATTTAATGATGATACTAAAATCAATACGATACTCAAATGAAAAGATCTCATTCAATAAGAATTCTATTCTCAGACTCCATCTTGTATATTTGTTCGCACTATTCTCATTACTCATAAGAACCAATGGTATAACACATTAGTAGATTGCTAGTCGAAGAACAACTATCGGTAAACTGCAGGAGAATGATTATTAGAAGATAGTCGACCATTTAAGTATCGAATTGCCGGTCTGAATCATGTAGAACATTTACGTATAGTACTGCTTAAAATTATAAAATCAGAGTATATTTTGTTTTTCTAAGATATCAAGTACCTAATCCAAATAGTAATCGAGATAGCCAATGAAATTCTCTATCAGAAATATAATATATCAAGATATTAATGGTGGACTATGTCGGAAAGTTTTCTTTTAGTAGTAACATCTGAAAGAGCAGAAAAATACGAGAAAAAAAATCAAAATTTATCAAAAAAGTCGTTGAAATGGGTGTGAATCTTCTATTCATTCAAACTCACACCAATGTACGCAACTGTCTTAGACCCATGGAACAAAATCAATTATCGAATATAAGTTCTTTTTTCGATTCTAATTTTTTTTTTCTTCTGATTTGATTAATATATTGATTTCTTACATAAAAATTTAACAGGTGATGATGATTCATTATTGATTATTTGAGATGGAGCAATTGTTTTCTCTAAAATAAACAAAATGAGAAATATTTAGAAGAAAAAAAAACAAAACATCAATTAATAATTTCTACCTATCATTTTCATTCGAGCATTTTTTAATTTTTCAATTAATTTTATTTTTGTACCAGTTGAACTAATATTTAATTTTTTACATTCAATTTTTAAATCAACTAATTTCATTGTTTCAAATGATAATTGTTTATCATTAGATATTGACGATGAAATATTATCAATTGATTGTTTTGAAAAATTTTCTATTGTATTATTTTGATTTTCAATAAATTTATTATATAATTGTTGTTGTCGTAATTGCATTCTATAATGATTTTCTTTTAATAGACGATTATCTTCATATGTTTTTATTGTTGATTGTAAAGGAATTTTTGTTATTTCAATTTTTTCTAATGGTCCTTTATATTCATGAAATTTTAAACATGATTTTGATTTTGGTATTGAATTTAATGAACGTTTAAATATTGTTGTATTTGAAAATGATGATGTTTTATGACGAAATGGTTGTGATAAACTTGAATATTGAATATTTTCATTTTGTATAACTTGTTTAAGATTTGAATCTATTTCAAATATATTATTTGCTATTAATTCTAATATACCAGGACGTACAGATAATTTATTATTAAGTTTATCAATTAAATGAGCACGTTTTAATTGACATTGAGTTTTTTGTATAGCTGGTGCAGCTATTGTATCAGATAGAATATTATGTTCAATTAATAATTGACGATTAGGTCGAAAAAGAATTTTCTTTTTTAATATATCTTTTATCTAGAAGAAATATAAATTATTTGAAATAAATGTTTTCTGTTTTTTTGTTAAATAAAAATACTTTTCGCATTTGTAATTGTTTATGTTGTTGATAAAATGGTATTGAAACTTTAGATGTTGGTATAATACCAATATCAACAAGTTGTTGTAAAGATCGACGTGTTTGTAATTTTCGTTTAAGTGCTATTAATAAAGAAAGAATTAAAAGAAAGAAAATAAATTTAAAATTTTTACGTACATTCACGATTTTTTTCAAGATCTTGTCTTAATGATTGTTCATTAATTTGTTGTTGTAAATTATCATCTTCTTTCATTATCGATAGTTTATCAAGAGTATTATTATTAAATGTCATTAGATATATATACTAATATTTTTAAACTGTCTACTACGATCAACATTTTCTAAATGAATGACAGAATTTCTTATTATTGACCATTTCTTGTTTTTACTGTACTTATAATCACTTTCACTATACTAATATGTTCTTTTTTTCTATGTCAACCGACATTTATTTAAGAAAGAAATAGAACAGAACAGAGCATCTGTATTACCCAATTTTTTCTATACATCCTACACATTGCGTGGAATGTGTACATTCTCCTACGCAAGAATTAAATGATGCTAATTGGCATGATAATAAGTACTCTACATGCAAATGTTTTCTCGCATATAGTTCTTTACATTTATAAAAGAGAAAGTAAAAAATGTCAGGATCAGAAAAACAAAAGACAATTAAACAACAAAGATAAGATCAAATTTCAAATGAATCTAAACTAAAATTTGGCACATACGAATTATTAATTTTGTTGATTAATCAATGATAAATTTTAACATTCTGTAAAAAAAAAAAAAATTAGCGTATTCTATTTTATTGTGTTAATCAACACTTTACAGATAAATCTAAGAATAGATCCATTAATTTGAGTTCTACAACATTATTGATCTACTCCATCTTTGTTTACTACTCATTGATGTACGTATCTTGGGTGATAATAAAATAATATTTTTAGATACAAACTACGATAGTTGATATAAATCTACGCAATTATTTTCATTGGCTATTTTAAATAATAGATTGTCGTAGCAAGCAGATGTCAGTAGAAAACAAATTTTTTTCTTCCATCAACCGCAACAAAAAAAGGAGATCATCTTTAATTCTATAAAAAAAAAGGACGTGATTCAGAATTCATTTGATGTCTTTCTGCTCTTAAAATACCATCAATTTCATTAAGTACATATTTGCTTGTTGCTGATAACGCTGGAATAAAATGCAATGTTGGTGCTAAACGTCATAATTATGAATATTTTTTTCATCATGATAATTTATTTTCTTCTTCATGTATTTAATTACTGCGTCATATAGTTTATCACTATCTGTAGATGAATTTTCATCAGAAAACGAATTCTTTTAGTAAAAGTATATTGCTTTTATATAAATCGTAGTTTTGAAAAAGTAAAAATATTTTGAAATGTCAACATCTCATTAATTACTTGATCGAATGCCGGATATCCGATCGGATTACAGGATACTACTACGGCGTAGCGATAGTTGTTCTCTCACCATAAATCTACTGCAGATATACCGACAGTAATGTAAAGGTGTGGGCGTGATTTAGATGCGAAGAATACAGATGCACTGACATCCCACGCAGATTCACACCTACACCCCACACCCATACATTTCTGCCATTGGCAGATTCTGAATTGACATTAGAAATGTTTTCTACATTCCTTCGAATGAAATACATTGAGAACAATCAATAATTTGAGTAAACTCATCTTATTTTAGACTTAGTTTTTATGAATAAATGTTTTAATGAATCATATTGAATGAAATATTAGTATTGATTTGGGGAGAAGATTTATTAAGATGATTAGAACGAGCAAAAAATATTAATATTAATGGCGATAATATCATTGATCATCATTCTGATGTTTTTTTTAATGATTATTTTCCAAGAAAACGATATGAAAGTATTATTCCAGCTAAATCATTAACTTATCATTACAGTACAGGTTTTCATTGATAGGATTAATTATAATGAATGTTTTTCGTTTTCTTGTACTGTGAAGCCCTTAATACATTAGACGATCCGATGTCTTTTATTAAGTCTCTCAAAAAAAAAGTCATATTTTTTGGTAGTCTCGCCAACAACTTTTCGTTTCAATTCAGTTTTTGCAGCTATTACGAACAATCGAAAGTTGTGGCTATTTTGATCCAAACTCCGTTATTTATTGTGCAAATTTGAATATTTTTTTTTACCAAAATGATCAGTGAAACGAGCTCTATAAAGTCCTATAGACGAAATAATTTTATGAAAAACTTATATTTTTCATGGTTGAATATTAATGAAAATATCTATCAAAAATATGATTTATGTTAATTTTTTCCGTGGTAGTATTATTGTGCGATTAAAATGTATTTTTTTCTACAAAATGTAATTAGCAGTAAGCAAATACAAAATATATAATTTTTCTTCAATTAAAACGTCTAAAATTAGTTCCGATACTTCGAAATATAAGGAATCCGTGAAAAGTGAAATCGAAGGATAAATTAATCATTGATGTCATTCTCTTGTACTTACCATGTTGTCAAAATGGACTAATTGCAATAATCGAAAAAACTAATGATTAATTAGCGATTTTGCAATAAACTTCATCAATAAGTATTTATTAATAAAAAAAAATACATATATATATATTATTTTTTCTTTTATTTAAATCAATCTCAAGACCAAAATGAACAATAAATATCATTGTATAAAAACAAATCTGTTGTATTTTATTATTTACCTCACATGAACGAGGACAAAATCATCTCTCTCCTCATTCGTATAGAACGTTTATGAGTACAATGATAAAAGATGGTCATATACCTGTTGAGATACAGTCGTAGTTATAGAACGAAACATGATAATTAGGTTCGATCATCGTTAAATGTTGCATGGGAAATAGAAATTTTCTATACAAAAAATCTTTCCAAGTGATTTAATTTCGATAAAATCACTAATTTTTGTGCAATTATGATCATATGGATATTTGTTTTTTTCACAATGATTCACTGTGCCAGGTAAAAAGAATTACTCATTTCAACTTGATAATATATCCTACGCAATTATACAAAATATAAACATGTCTAATTATTACTCTCAAAATAGTATAAAAGCAAAAAATCATCATAAAGAAATTTATTATTATAAATTTTACTATTGCATTCGTAATAATTATAACTAAATAGAAAATATCCAAATGTTCAAGAGTAAGTTTCTTTCAAATAATAAATATTATGTTTTATTTCATAATATAATAATTACAATTTATTATTTTACATAGACTATAGAGCCAATCGTCTTGAACGTGAACTTGGCATTGATTTAAATGGTGATGGTTATATTGGAGGAGAAGGTAGAATTTATGTTAAAATAGTTGATACTATTCAATAGTCTATTTATTCGTCTTAGGTTTTCTTAGCAAGTTAGAAAAAGCAACTCATATTGATTTTAATCGTGATAATATCATCGGTCGTCCACCAGATGTTTTATATCGCTATCCTACAATGTATCCAACTGGATATAGTGGTTTCCCTTCTATGGGTTATGGTGGTTTTCCTCCTATGGGTCATGGCGGTTATAGTTATAATATGAGCAGTTTTGGATATTTCTATTAAATCTTTAATAAACTATATTCTCTTACATCAAAATTTTTTATCAATAAGAAAGAATAATTCTTTCTTGTTTTTTTGATATTTTTGAAGATAAAATAGATTTTAATTTAAAGACCTCAAGTCGAACCTAGAATAAATAAAAGAACTAAAAATTAGAATTCGATTGGAATTTATTAACATTGAATATTAATGTTCATTTGTGTAATCCATATTAAACATATAGAATAAAGATTTTTTGCTTTTGTTTTTTTAGTTTTGCTTACTTAACGATATTTTTACTATATCAATATTGATTGATACCATATTGTGTTTGAACGTAACATTCTTATGCTTTTGAAATGTGACAAAGAAACTGATTGAAGCAGAAATTATATGTAGTGGTATTAGGGAAATAGACATATATAGACAGATGTATTTCGATGAATAATACATTATTGATACTTATATTCGAATTACTCATTTCGAATCTTTGTTATATTGTATTCATTTTAAGGATATTCCCGTCTTTTTTGACCATTTCTGATTTACGAAAAGAATACAATGGATCCGCATAATATTTTTTACTACAGATAGAACATCTAAAATAAGGAGACATATGTTTAAAGAAAAAAATTTTAAAGAAGTTTTTTGCGGTTTTTTCGTAAAATCCTGGTTTTTCATAGGAACACCATCTAACTTTGTCCAAATGGGCTGATATTGCGACTACAAGTATTCTGCAAATGTAAAATCAGTTGTTTTGGCTTTTGTTTACTTTTCCATTCGGATTTATGGAGTCCTAAAGGTCAGTACCTGAGTTTTTATAAAAGCTACTTCTAACACATAGTCTAAGATATCTCCAAAAACTTTTCAGGCTGATTAGGCAAATTTAGATGGAGCTCGTAAGCAGATCCTATGAAAAACCGGAGTTTCTTAAAAAGCCCCTAGAATCTTGTTTCAAATGTTTTGTTTTTCTCGAATACTTGTTTCCTTATTTTAGATGTCCAGTCTGTGGTAAAAATTTCATGCGGATCACTCTTAAAAATTCCTGATATAAAAACAATATTACATAAAAAATAATTTATATTTCATCATTTTCACATTTTAATTTATATAGATGAATTTAATTATTTTCATATTGAAATAAATTCATATAATGACAGCTGTTTTCCAAAGGCACAAAATATTGTCTTATATTTTTTGTCATTTTAAAAATATTTGTTTTCATTTCTGCTTATTTAATACATAAATATTGTATTATTTCTTCGAATGAAAAACATTGAAAACAATCAATGATTTGAGTAAACTCACCTTATTCTTCTTCATAATATAGGTTAGTCTTAAATGATAATATTGATTTGTGTATGATCATAATGAGACAATTATAAATCATTCATCCATAACTATATGTTGTCCGACGAATATCAAATAAACAACTTATTAATAAAAGTAAATACAAATCAAGGTAAATATCGCATAAGCTGAATTTATCTTTTCATAACATTTGAAAGTAAAAATAATGAGTAACTATTTTGAAGACATGTACTTTTTCTCTTCACAAATATTTCAATCTATTGATATATATATTGCTTAGCTTTTATGAATAAAATGTTTTGATGAATCATTTTGAATGAAATATTAGTATTGATTTGGGGAGAAGATTTCTTAAGATGATTAGAACGAGCAAAAGATATTAATATTAATCGCGACAATATTGTTGATCATCATTCTAATGTTTTTTTATGATTATCCTTCAATAAAATGGTACGAAATTGTTATTCCAGATTAAATCATTAACTTATAATCACAGCCATCAACAGGTCGCTTTTTTCCGACCTGATCTGCAAGTCAAATGAAACTGACTGATGCTTCTTGTTTTTTTAAAATTTACTAAGTTCTATGACCTTATTAGAATGTATCATTCTATTTTCAGTTAAATACTTAATTTATTTTCATGAAGATAGTATAATGATAAGTTCTTGGACAACACATAGACACTTAAAACAAAGAGATAAATCATTATGAATATTTTTTTTTTGTCATACAAGAAATACTGTAATTATGATAGAAAAAAATAACATATGATTAAGTATACAACAAAGACGTAAAAGAAAATATATAAAGGAGTCGTATGCAACAGGTACTATTAGATATGAATTTTGTACTTATGTATAAATGCTCGATTAACTCGAAAACTTTTAACTACATACATAACGATATAAACTATACATCAGCCTCCAATTATTCTTTGTTTCATGATATTTTAATATTCTTAAAATTAAAATCTAAATAAAATAAACCAAGCGTCCGTGTTGAACTTCTGCACGCACAGTGACTAAGTTCTATCAAGCACGTGGACATGATTTATTTCAAAAACGAATTGCTTCCATGGAAATATTAGTTTCTTGTACTTACAAATAAGATTGATAGAAAATCTCAGAGAGGATCCTAAACTCCTGAAAAAAGAAACTTTTTTTTTTTAAAAACTGACAAACTGTATATCACTCGATACAATTTTTCTTCAAGATTTCAAGCATCTTGTATAAATTACTATTCAAGTCACAAAAAAGTTCACTTTCATTTTTCCATCAAATGCCGATGTTGTTGCTAATGAGAAAAATAAGCCTGGCGCTAGGATAAACTATATAAAAAGAATCAAAACCAATAATACAAGTACGTAAAAACATTGAATTAGTAACGTATATATTGTGTATTCACGATTACGACAGCAACATGCTACAAAAATAATTAAGTGAAGTTACGATAGAAAAATAAAGGGCATGACATACAAGAAGTTACTTGTGAATTCCATGCAGTTATGAAGAATAAACTTATCCAAAGATCAACATAGATAGTAGCAATTATAATATCAATAAGCATACAAGTAACGCGGCGCAAACGTCGCTGACCCTCCACTGAAAGGATGCGATGTTGTTGAGCGCATCGTATTCGTCCTAGGAACTATGAGACCTAGTATCTTCATATACACTTAAAGGAACAAAATTAAAGGAATAGTATATGGAGGGTGTGGGTGTGGAGTGTGAGGTGTGGGTTGAGAGAAGATGAACTCATACCCACACCTCACACCCACACCCAGCCATATGACCTTCAACACTATAATACGTTAATTGACTACGACTAATAACAGATTAAATGTTATTTTTGGAAATTTTTTAAATAACAAAACTTACGCATGTGTATGAACAAAAAGTCTATCTAAATAATGCTTTTTAAATTTTCTTAGACTAGCAACAAGTGTTTTTGGAGAAGGTGGATTTTCATCTGTGCCACCATCAACAGTAAAAAAGAACAACTGGTTTTACTTGTGCTGTTCCATTGTGTGCAACTTTTTCAAATTAAAAAGACGATCAAAATTCACTGCATGTGATTTAGCATTTGATTGATCATATTTATCTGAACATGTCACAATATATGTTCAACCTGAATAACCTAAACCATCATCTTCAGATAAAACATATGCTGTATAAACACTTGGTGTAAGTTAATATCTTGATGTGACTGTTCAATCGTGATCGAGTTAATATATATGATGATCCAAATGCATTAACATTGATAACTAAATATGAGCTACTAGTATATTAAGGAGAATTCTATATTTATCATCTTGTCATAGATAAAATACACAACCATTTTTCAAAAAATGATGCAAAATCTTTCATATAACGAATAGTTGCTGTTGCA